CAAAGAAGAGATTGTTAGATTTGCTTGGTAACAGGAAAGAGAAGGACTTTGGAAATTCCCAAGACTGCAGGAATTTCTGTCCCCTTCCAAACATCTTGCCCTGGGTAAAGGCATTGCTGCAGGGACGCTAAATTGCTGGGGATTGCCTGTGAGTCCTATGAAAGAGGGAATTGATGTAGGGGATCTTAAAGTACGAGGACTGGAACAGTGGAGTCAGTGTCAAACTTAGTACAGGAAGCAGTGGTTATGACCCAGTGTAATGTCCCCAGCAGTGACAAAGGCCCAGGTATACACACTTGCAGGTTCCCAACCATATGTACCGGGAGGATATGACCCAAGGGCATATCTTCATGGAGTGAAGCAAAGCAAGAGAACCTAAGAAAATTATGTCGAGGGATCAAAAAGAATCCAGGAAGATAAAAAGGCCATTTTTCTATGGGTAAAACATGTATTTTGAGGAAATCAGAATTTTCCCCTTGTCTGAAAGCTGAAGAAAAGCAAGCTACCATTAAAAGCCTGTTCCTTTCTTATGCTAAGCCATAGAAGAAAAGAAAGGACAGTTCCTTTCAAGAGGAAAAAAAGTCAAGTTCAAGCATTGCCACAAAGGAAAAAGCATACCTTTTAAAGTAATATGCAGTAGGACATCCTTAAGCTTCTGTCCCCTTTCATTTATGTACTCGACTCTTTGGAAATCTGTCTCTAATCCTACCCTGTTTCAAAAAAACCTGGCTCTCCACACTGATGCCTGCCCTGCCCTAACGCTCTGCTCTTTTTTTGCTCTGAATTCAGAGTTGGGGTTTTTGTTCCACTTCAAGTGTGAGTTGTTTGGAGGAATTACGTTATTCAGGCAACACAAAAGCTGAGTTTTCACATCAGTTTTGTGGTGGAAATAAGAATAGTGATGACAAAAATTAACACTTTAATTGCAGTGGAGTATGTGTATTTTCATTACAGATTCAAGAGAGTAAATAAAAAGCAACTCAGCACTATGGTGGTTGACCAGAGGGATATACTCTCTGCAGTCTCCTCTCATATGCTTTTCATGATGATATACTAATTAAAAGCAGATAGATTTATGATCAGTAGTCTATATGTAGGTCACAGAAAAACCAAATCATAAGCTCTTCCAAGACCTTTTGTACCAGAGAAATGAAAGACACAAAATATTCCTAAACTTGAACAGGGCCTTTGGCTTCTTAGAATTACATCCAGCTTTAATAGAAAATGCAGCTCTTAATGGCCTTTCACATAATACAACAGAATGGCTTGAGCAGGACTCTACCAAAAGCTCTGAGTGAGCCTAGTTTAGTCAGGTGTTAAACATGATTAACTGCCGTGGCTTTGGATGGCTTAACATTTTATTTCCAACACCTAGTTTCTTATAGTGCCACAATACATGAGGCAATTTGAAGATAATGCGGCTATTGATTTTTTTAAATGACACAAGTGCATTTCATGGAAAACATCAGTATTAAAAAAAAAAAAAGCAAGAGTATGCATGATTATGAACAATATATAAGATAATGCAATAAACATAACATAATACAAAAGTAGCATTGTTAGTACAAGATTAAAGCTGTTAATTTTGCCATGTAATGGCCACTGATAATAGGGGGACTACACAAAGGTTGACACCATTTTGAAAAAATGTCAACACACAGCTCAGGTGCTACATTGGTTCAAAAAGCAATAGGGATGACTGACCCTTTATTCTCTGTATTTCATGCTAAATTTCTCAAAGTCACAACTGGCTCTCATACAAACCTTAAGTCTATCAGTTAAATGACAGACTATCTTCCTGTCAAACCCTGCCTCCAACGTGACTTCTTTCAAGGAATGGCAAAGCTTGTATATAAATTTGGCACTCTGAGAATTGGGTTTGTTTAGCTCTTCTGGGGCATGTCGCTCCCTGTACTGATTTAACACAGTATGTGAGACTTCATGCAAACAAGTACAAGTTATAAGTTATTTATGTCTGTGGGGGACACACCTTGGACCAGCTGCTGAGGGTTCCCTCATTTTCTGCATAAATGCAGTAGCAGTAGCAGATAGATATCACACTGAGATAATGTGATGGCGCAGTCCCTGGTACAGCACAGCCTCATGTTTATCTACTTGAACTCAGGGCAGTGAGGAACAAGTGAAATGCCCTTTGCCAGGAGTTGAGATCATATGTTTTGGAAAAAGAAGGGATGCACCACTCCCTTATTTTCTATCAACAATGGCTCTCGTGACAGGTGGCCTCTACTAGGCAAGAGAGTGCAGGGACAATGGGACCTACTGCAGCCCACCCACCCAGAGTACCAAAGGGTTTGGTTGTTGTGACCTGCTGAAGGTATGGAGCCATGTTTTATCAAATCTTTTCTGAGACAGGGTGTACATCAAGTTTGCTTTGTGTCTTGACTTAATAGGAAGTGCTAGTTTTTTTGCTTCAGGGGTAGTTTTTCTTCAGGATCCTCACGGGTTTCTGACTCCTGAGCTGGGAAACATGTACATCTTCCATCAAACTGTCTCTTTTACAAGGTTATTCTAGTGGAAGCCAGGCAGAAAGGGACCTGGGGGTGCTGATCGACAGGAGGCTGAACATGAGCCAGCAGTGTGCCCAGGTGGCCAAGAAGGCCAATGGCATCCTGGCCTGGATCAGGAACAGTGTGGCCAGCAGGAGCAGGGAAGGGATCCTTCCCCTGTACTCTGCGTTGGTGAGGCCACACCTTGAGTATTGTGTTCAGCTCTGGGCCCCTCAGTTCAGGAAGGATATTGAGGTGCTGGAGCGGGTCCAGAGAAGAGCAACGAGGCTGGTGAAGGGACTTGAGCACAAGTCCTATGAGGAGAGGCTGAGGGAGCTGGGCTTGTTTAGTCTGGAGA